AGTCAGAGGTGGTATTTACCGGTTCTCCAGCCTACTCAAAATTTCCACTACCGGTTCTCCAAAACTGGTCAGAACATGCTGAAAACCACCTCTAGAAGAGGCAGCCAGGCAATGCCTCAAGATAACTTGATAGCCACTCACCCCTGAGGCTCCTCCGTGAAGACATGTTTCGATGCAGTTTGTCACACATGCTAGATGTCTAAACAAATTTACTAAGATGAACCTTAAACGTTGGCATGTTTGTTGAACTCTCATCAATGGCTTTAGAGGGGATTCAAATCAAGACTATGCTATTCAAATAAAGACTACCTCAGTCAAATGAAGACTACACCAATGTAAAGAAGCCATCGAAAACATCAAAGGCGCCTTGTTAAGAGTGTTTGCTTTACACTGACATTATGAGCTCTTAACTTTATATTCAACTAACTTCCCTGGTCCTTCTGAATACTTTGATTGCAACCTCTTATTTTCAAGCTCAAATCACTCCACTGCATTAAGTGTAGCCAAATTTTGTGATGCAATGCACAAGATATGCAGCAGTTTGATTGATACCTTCATCTAATTAATTTTTTTTTAGTATACAATGTGTTTTATGTATAGGTCACTGACTGTAATAAATAAACTAAATATTTTTTTCCCCAATTTTTAAGGAAGTATTACTCTCCAGATCTAATTCAGCCTGTTAGCCACCATATCCATTTGTATTATTAAGCTACATTGTATTGTGGCTTAAAAATAAAGATCCACTTGTACTAAATGAACAACAGAAGTCGGGAATTCTGGTATTTCCAAGCAACTGGAAAGCATTGGATTAGTATATGTTGGATTTGGGGTGTTTTTTTTTAATGAGAAAACTTCTTGAATGAATCTTCAGCCTATCAGTCAATCAGAACAATTTTATCCAGAGAAAGCATCTGAGCTCACATATTGCATTTATTAACAAATAGTCATCAAGTGATAAATGGTGCAGGCGTAACACCTGTTGCAGATCTACTATCACTTTATCTACCACCACTTTAGTACAAAAACGTTTAGCATGTTTTAATGTTTAACATTTTCATCATAGTTTGCAAACGATACAGCAGCCATCTCATTACAACGGCAAGCTATTCTTCTAAATCACATTATCATCTACAGTACAGTACTGGGCAAAAGAATAAGAGGCAGCCTCAAGAAAGATAAATGGATAGAGGTGAACCTGTAATTTACTCAAAAACCCTGAAGGCAAAACATTAATTTTGGGACGCGCCACTGGTTGGCTGTAGAAAGCTGTCTAAAAGCACAGTCTCTAATATTTTACTTGACTGTCATTTCAGTACTAGGCAAAAACTTTCTTCACCCCATTTCCTGCAAGACTTTAACCTCCTTTCATAGCTTATAAGCTGCTTTATTATGCTTATTCTTGGTTTGTTCTTTTAAATTTCAGAGTTTGTTACCATGCATATGCAAATATGAAAAAAAAAAATCAGCCTCAAATTTGCAGTCATTCAATACTGTATTTNCAGACGCTAGTACGCATGCGTGCACTGCGCGCGTGCACGAGGACGCTGCCGGCCCCATTCCAACCGAACCGGTTGGAACGGGGCGAGAAACCCACCCCTGATGTGCCCTGAATGTCAGGGACACGATAGGTATATTATAAGCCTCAGTTCATATGATGGAAGTTCAGATCAGATCTCTGAAATCTCCTC